CCCCAAAACCCCAAAACCCCAAAACCCCAAAACCCCAAAACCCCTAAATTCTTAAAAATAATGAATTTAATAATTATTAATCTTACCGCCTTCCCTTTCTCTTATTCTTATTCCTTTTAGGCTTAGATGAGACCATGAACTGATCTATAGTAAATGTAGTTTCTGTATTTGAAAATAAACCCTCCTCTTCTTCTGTAGGCTTGGGCTTAGGTTTCTTTTTCACTTTTTTCTGATGAGATTTAGAGCTAGATTTTGTTATAATTACAGGTATCTTTTCCTGTGCCTGAGGTGGGCCCCCACCCAAGGCTGGGAATTCATCCACAGGTTCTCCCTGAGGGGTTATTTCAAAGTCGTTCCAGACGTTATCATCTGTATCTTCTTTAGCTATCTCTTCTACCTCTGGTGTTGGTTCTTTATCTTCTTCGTTATTCTCATCATCCTCTTTCCAAGGTTGGTTAATTTTGTCATTTTTGATTTCCTTTCCATCCAAGGTAAACCAGGTGTCATCATTAATGGTCTTCTCAGCATCCCACACTGGGATATGGCGTGATTTTGAGTTGATGTTGACTGAGATGTTATTCTTGAGGTAATACTCATGCTTTTTCTCATCAATCAGCTTTGCCTTTTCCATATATTTCTTCTCTTTCTCCCTTCTTCTTTTTCTGATATTCTCCTTAGATCGAATTTGCTTCTCAAAGTGCTCATATGTCTTGTAAGAGACCAAATGGGACATGTCCACTTCGATGAACTTGAACTCGGCTGAGATTCCTAAGTGTGAAATCGGCTTATTTTTAGCCCGCAAGTGCTCAGTCATGTTGAATTCCTCAATTTCTAGAATTTTTGAGCTGATATTGAGAGGTAGGTTATTATAACTTCCGTATTCTTTGAGTAAAACTCGCATTCACAGCGGGTCAAGGAAGGAATTTGTCTCGTCATCTAGCTGATAGAAATAATAATTTCCTTTAGATTCCTTGACTATTTTCTCATATTTCTGTCTCCTTTGAGTATCAGCGAGGCACCAAGATTTTGTTTCAGATTTGTAGCTGTTCAATTTTTGATTTTCTGGATTCGTTTCTAAATCTTGACTTTCTGATTGGTCGATTTCATCCATTTCATTTACATCAAGAGCTCTTTGCTGATGGATGATTATAAGTTCTTGAGTCAATTCTTTTTGTAGCTCTTCTAACATGTCAAAACCTTGTTGGCAGAGATCAACTTGGAGTGTGTCTCCAAGATTTTCCCAGTCTTTGCTACTCTCAGTTAGCTGGTCTTTGAATTCTTGGAAAATATTTTCAAATTCTTGTACAACACGGATTCTGGTGATGTTATAGGCTTGAGAATCGTTATAGAAGATCTCAAGGTTTTCAAACTTTGATTTCTGGCTCTCGTTATTATCAGACTCTTCGTAAAATTTTACTATATTTGATTCCTGAGCCCTGAATGCGAGCCTAAACCTTCTAGTTTGGTTCTCCTCAGGGGGAGGCTTGATGAATACTTTAGTGAACTTCAGCGCCTTTTTAAAGACTAATTCTTCACAGAGGGGGCATTTTCTGAATTCTTCTCCTTCACTCTCTGTTGCATGAAGGAAGTACTGAAGAATACAAGGATATCAGAAAATGTGGCCACATTGACTAATCACAGGGACAACCATTTTCTCCTCCCGGCAGATTGGGCAGAGGTAATCTGCGTTTCTTTTAGCCAAAACCATGAAAATTTCTTCCCATTCAACTTTATAATCCGGATCATAAGTAGCAAAGAAGTAATCCTGGTCCTTAGTTGGCTTCAAGATAAACCTGTGATTAGCCTGAATATGCTGGGAAGAGGAAAATTTAACATTTTTACCAGCCCGTCTTTTTACTGGCCGATCTGTAAAATGCATTAGATCAAGCTCGTTGATGTTATATCCACTGTCAAGTTCGAAAGGTGATGCGTTTTGCGATTCAAAGCCTAGCATTTCTGTGGTGTTATCGGCTTTCTCCCATTTAATACCTTTCTTACCCTTCTTTCTGCCTCCTTTACCCTTTTTTCCTCCAAAACTTTCTATTTTTCTGAGTGAATCGTGCTGACTAATTTTCATTTGGCTTGCAATTTTAGCTTCTTCTTGGGATGAATTAGCTGGTGCTGCAGCTGTTGAACTCCTTGATGCTGGTAGATAAGTATCCTTCCTCTCTTCTATAAAAGCATAACCTCAGGGCTCCCTTACCATCAGGGTGTGGCTTGGCAGATGTATTTAGTGGGCCGCTGCTGGCTTGCATTTGTGATAAAATAAATTGTTATTGCATTTCTCCTATTTTTAAATAAATAAGGTTATTTGGGGTTTTGGGGTTTTGGGGTTTTGGGGTTTTGGGGTTTTGGGGTTTTGGGG